ATATATATATATATATATATATATATATATATATATATATATATATGTGTGTGTGTGTGTGTGTGTGTGTGTTTTGAACAATAAAAATATTAAAAAATTTAAATCTTCAGACACATTGGGTTGTATATTAATATTCTTTCGTTTTATTATTTCAGTTAGATTCCTCGACTAGTTTCGGCCAACATGGCCATCATCAGGAGAAAAAAATCTGCTTGCTAGTAACAGTGAACTACAGAAATGAATGTGTTTATGGAGAAAATGAACTTCTTCTGTAGTTTTCATTTGTATTTTTATTTTTTAACATGAATTTTGGTCAGACCTTGTGTTGGTCAAACAGTCTCTTAAGTTGTTATTTAAGATAAGAGCTAGATGGATTCATGCTTCTCTCTCTCTCTCTCTATATATATATATATATATAAGAGAAAGAGTGATGCGTATATGTGTGTGTACGATTCCAATGTTACGTGTGCTAGCGACAAAAGGGAAGTGGTCTGAAAGAAAAAAAGTATAATACTGAGTTTTCTTGCATTGTTTTTGTGAAGAGGTGTAAACAGATAGTCTGTCTCCCTTTACAGAAATGAAAAAAAGGATCGCGTTTCTTTTCTTCTTCTTCTTCACGAAATGAAACTTGTCGAAATTGTATCAAATTTGCAAGACTTTGCACCTTTAATTTTATGCTTGGTCTACTGAATATCTTCCCATCCTTGTTTCTCTACTCAATTTTAAAGAGGATGGTCAGTTTTCAGGAAAAATGGAACAATACTTAAGTAGAAAAAGGTTCTACTCTACACTCAAGTCAAAATAGGAAATACGCATGATTCTATTTCTTATCTATGGACTTAATGGCATCACATGGAAAAAACAAACTTTCAATTATGGACTAATTACTTCCTTCCTTCGGTACCATGAGTGATGCACATTTTGGCAATCATGGCTCTTTCTGACTCATGATTGACTCGGCAAAAGAATTCCCGCAATAAACTACCATTACTTTCTGTGGTAGACTTGATACCAACCAAGTCTATAGAATCCAGTCAGTTCTGCTATTTAGCCCATAGATGAGGAGATAACAGATGGGTTCATTGTTTTCCTAAAACTATCTGCGCGTAAGTGAACTAGACTAAAATTCAAACTCGGTCTGATCTTTTTAATCATTTTACCCCAAGCAAGGCAATAAAACTACTCGATGGTCTTTTGAACAGGAGTAGAGGTTGAACCCTTGTTTTCTGTTTAGCATTGATTTTCCGTCTACTTCAACTCTATAGTTCTGACGTCTCCGTCTGAACTCTGAAATTTTATTTACTGTTGTAGCATACCTACGGGCGATAATGGGTATGTCCCCATTCACATAAATACAGTAGTAAATACTGTATGTTGGTCTGCAGTTGGAGGTTCATTGTGGAATTTACTTGACTCACTTCTAGCAGATGACTACTTCATTTACGCGCCGCTGGCGAATCTTATATGTGTTGTTCTTGTCCTAAGTATTATCGTTCATTACCAACCTTCGTGTGATTATTCTATTCAGTAACCTTCGCTAGGTTACAACATTTTGGCAACATTTACTAATTATTTATTTCCCCCATTTTTGCTTTTCTTCTCCAAAAGAGTATATAGTTTTGCCCATCGTCATGCTCACACTACTCCACAGCCTTTTGAACAGGAGTAAATGTTAATCCATTTTTCCCCTTTTAGAATTGAGTTTCCGGTTCCTTCTAAAGTCTTAGTGCCATTATCGTCTTGCCTGGGGTGAATTGATAAAAAAAAGGTGCAAAGTGGTAAAAATTACTCATCCCGATCCATTATCCGCACATCCAAGATTACGGAACTTGGTATTTCCAAGCGGTCACCCATCTAAGTACTGACCAAACTCGATGTTGCTTAACTTTGGTAATCGAACGAGAACCGATGTTTGAATGTGATATGGTCATATGCCGTTTAATTACTAACCACAGAAAAATCAAAGACAAAGTATATCATAATAGATAAAATATTAGGAAGATTCCCTCTTCTTTCAAAGAAATAAGAGCAAATCACTTAAACTTTTGAGACAAATTAGAAATATCAAAAATAGGACTCTCAAATTTCTGTCACGTGGAAAACATTCCTGACAAAAAAAAAAAAAAAAAGGAAAAAAAAAGTCGTCGATCTAAATTCAAATGAAGAGACAACGTATTCAATTGGTCAAAATTCCGCAAGCTGGTCCCGTATAAATAGAGTCTAGAGGGTCACGTGATCTTGCAATCAGCCACAGACGAAAATGGCGTAACATGATTCAATTTTAAAAGTAGACATAATTTTTCCAGTTGACAGACGAGAAGATAGAAACATTAACTAATGTGAATGTGAGGTCTTTTCTTTGTCAAAGTCCTTATGGCGTTATTTTGGCATAGACGGGAGTTTTAAATGTTGAAGGCAGAAGGCAAATTCTGCATACATACTCCCCTATAGAAGGAATGTATTTTTATGTCTATAAAAAAATCGACATATCAACAGCTTCAATCCAAAGGTATCTTCTCTTATGTGCCGTGTCCCTTCAGGACGTTGGCGATCATGACTATAAACAACCTTAGCTCTTAGTAACGTCTGTTCCTTTGCTAAACCTCCCATTCACTCACACAATCTTGTCAGCTGCCTTCAATATATCCTGTGAGTGTCTAATTCTCCAAACGCTCCTTATTTTGTGTCAAAGAAGTTTCAACTGTCTCTTTCTGATTTTGAGTATGTGCCCTTTCTGTTTCCATTTTCTTAAATACATCTTCGCTGATTACGCGCTACGTCCATGATATTCTCAGCATCCTTCTGTAGAAACAAATTTCTGTTGAGTCCGGTTTTCACTAGAACTGTGACACTGCCCAGTATTCAAAAAGATTGATACATCATAGTTCATAAGAAAAAGAAAAAAGAAACGATAGATTCGAAGATCTGACTTGATTTGCGTTTTTTTACGGTTTATCAACCTTTTACAGGTTATTTAAAGACAGAAAATATTCTTAGATTGGAAGAATTTTTTTAGATAGTTATTGATTGAACTCTTACTAATTAACCCGAAAATCTGACAAGCTGATAACACCTTGAATTTTGTTGTATTTATGTTGAAGTTTCTTCTCAACAGTTTTAGAACATGATTAGGTTTTATTAAACAAATTCCTTAATTTGAATGTTTATAAAAATTGCTCAAACTCTGACCATCAACAGCAGGTCAAGTCAGCAGATCAAAAACAATTTCTTGAAAGTTTCCACACATTTTTGTAATCGATTTCACCCCAAACAAAGAATGAAGTCACTAGGACAAAAGAGGTTAGTGGGTGGGGAAGAATTAGAAAACAGAAACTTTACGAAGGAGAAAGAACAAAAGAAGAGTAACCAGGAGGACAGTAGATAGCGATTGACATTTCATTTAAATTTTTGCAGATTAATGTTGGCTGGAAAGAATGGAGCCCAAAGAGAGCTCGAAAAGCGAGAAGTGTGAGTAAAGAAACTGCTAGCATAGAACTTCCGGTTACATCTCGCCAGCCCAACTGTATATTGGTGAGACCTAGTCGCCAGTCTAGTACTGCACTTAAATTCATGAAGTTTAAATACCTTGGCAAAGAACGATATTTAATTGTATAAAAATACAAAATGTGGCACAAGACCAAAATGGGGAAAAGGACGGTCTTGTTCTGTCTTAACTTTAAACTTAGCTAGCCACAATCACTGACCCAAACATACTACAATATTCCTTACACCAAAACAACACATTCTTACTTACCATTCTTATTACATCCACCATAATATCACAGTCTCCATGAAAGTCATAACTAGTCCCCATATGTACAATTCTTGTCTGTCTCTGTGTGTGTGTGTGGGGGGGGGGTATAATAACAACAATAATAATAATAATTATAATAGCAAAGAGCTCACCCGAACAGTTGCCATGGAAGTATTTATAGAAAAGATACAGGAAGGCAAGGAATCAAAGTTAAAGTGAGAAGTTCCGCAACAAAAGTTTTGAAGTTTCGCAGAGTTTGTAATTTGAAAAACTCAATTCAATTGCAGTTCCTAGAACACAACTCAATTTTCGGCCTGAATTGGAGTTTCAGTCTTTTGGTCGGAATTGAACTTATAACCCGAATAAAAGTTAAAGTGATGTTTTGAAATTCCACGGAGTGAATTGAGGAATTCGAAGTTATTTTTTCGAACTTATCATTACTTTTTTTCTAAGTTGGACCAGAGGTTCTTTACTACTGGGCCGGAGGTTCAGTTAATCTTACACAGTGCGACTTTTAATCTTGTTTAAAAAAGAAATAAAAACTTAAAGCTAACATCTGGTTTCATTATTAGGCAAAAAGATATTACGTTGTTCTGATAACACAAAGCAATTTCGCTTCGAATGTCATGGAGTAATACTTTGCGTTGCCACATTGCATTAATAATTAGGGAGAACAGGTTGCGGGACCGATAAATATAATTTTTGTCTTTGAGGATAAACACGGAATCTAAAAAGAAAAGAAAAAGAAGATTTTTCTTTAATACTGTTAAAGTACTCTTCTGGTAGCAAATTTCCCTTTTCTGACCACTCTTCTTCTCATCCGACACCTGTCAATACCGAGAAAGTCTCCAGTATCTCCGTAAAAAGTTCTGTCACAACACAAGGTGGAGAAAAGGCTCACAATTCTTCTGGCTTGTTTTGTCGTTTTTATTTTTAGTTGTTTTTTTTTCTACTTTTACTGATCAACTATAAATTCCCAACCCTGACTTTCACTAAGGTTTACAACTTTACACATACGAACAAACAATGTTCACACTGGTGTTAAACTTTCTCCTTCCATTCCTCGTCATTTCTTTTACAGTTTCCCTTTTATTTCCCGTAGAGCACACGCACTTTTTCTCATTCTTGATTTCACTGTCTCTAATAAAATATTTCGCATACACTCACTCGGTGTATTTTTTTCTCTCTCTCTCTCTCACACACACACACACACACACACACACACAGTCATGAAATCTTTCATTCTCTCATAAGCTTTGAAATTTATTTCGATTCGACATGCATGCGCGCACTGTTTCTTTCAAATGTCATCTCTCATTCTCTGTCATAGAAATTCTCCTTCTTATACTACCAAGCGTTTGCGTTTCAAATCTATACTTTTATTAACTTTATCAATATACCCCCTGTCTCTCACTTACACACACACTTGTGACGTCAACGAACACTCGTTGCCACTTTTGTAATACCCACGAATATTTGTTGTCACTTTCGTAATGCTCGTTATAGTAGAGACTTTGTAATCGCAGATACAACTATAGTACGCCTTTGAACAACACTGGTGTCAGACGCCTTCGAATATCACTCGCACTAATAGTACTTACTCGATAATACACGCTCGAATTCGTACAGTTATCTGAATAGAGAAATAGTATAGTGAATAGAGTAGAGAATAGCGGTCCGTATAGTATAAAGGATAGAATAGAAATGCGATCCGAATAGTAATAGAGGATAGACTAGAAATCCAGATCTGAATAGTATAGAGGATAGACTAGAATATAGCGATCAGTTCGACATCACGCGACTTACTACTTAGGCGTTTACTCTATTGTTACGTGGTCTACTTAATTCAATAATGGGATCACCTGTGTTGGCTCATTGGCGATCTACGTTCAAACTCAAGTGTTGGTAGCGACACTTTATTCCAGGATAGCGCGCGCGCGCGCGCACACACACACACACACACACACACACAATTTCACTTCCTATTTACGATTTCGTTGCTTTTCAGAACTCCCTCTTTTGTATATTTCATACTATTCCCCTTTCTTCCACATCATGCATACACAATTGTATGTATGTGTAGAAAATTCCCGACACATATACTTAGAACTTCTTAAACTACTACTTCTATGTGCAGCGTTCCTTCAGGACATAGAAAGTTGTGGAGATCCATCTTTTGTGGTTCTTGGAAGTCTTTCGCCCTTTGCTAAGGCCCTCGTTCCGCCATATCCTCCGTGAGGATTAATTTTTCCAAGCCCTTCTTCCTCGTTATGTGTCCAAGGAATTTCAGCTATCTCTCCCTGATTCTGAGTAGAAGTATTCTTTCTGTTACCATTTTCTTTTAAACTTCCTTGTTGCTTACTAGCCCCGTCTAAGGAATTTTCAATATCCTTCTGTAGAACTACATTTCCGCCACTTCTAGTTTTTGCCCCTCATCCTTAGGCAAATTGTCCAACATTCACTGCCATATAAGAGGATGGATACCACATAGCAATCCAGCACTCTTTTCTTTGTTTCTAAAGAATTTTTTCAGTTTCTCCTCTGTACACTGCCCTGTTAAAAAATGCTGTAATTTTTCTACGACTCCACCCTTTTACACACGCCATTCACCCGGATCGTAATATGACAACATTACGAGCGGGAAGAGGAACAGAAAGAGACTATACTCTATATACCTTTCAGATACTGTTCCCTCTGTCAGTCTCATCGTCTTTTCTAAAAAGAAACCAGGTACCCCGTCGACCCCTAACCCAGCCCAAACACTTTCCCCTACACGTTGAATCTTCCAAAGAATGTGTAATTTTGAGATAGATGATCAAGCACTGTTATCCATTTTCGTCATTACTCTCCTTTCTTCCTCCTCACCCGACCGACTTCTCTGAAGTTCCTTGTTGTCCATTTACTGTTTCCATCACAAGAATGTATATATTTCCCCCCGGAGTCTCAAATTCTTTTCTACTTTACCCCAAAACATTTGATTTTTTTTCCTGGTTAATGTCTTTACTTATTTGATATTTATATAACGTGTGAGCAAATGTTTCTAACTCTCCTTTTTTTAACTGAAGACAGAATGCTCAGTTGAAAATATTTTTTCTGGAAATTTCGCACACATCTAATAACATCAAGCGAAAATTATGTTTCCGTTTCTATTTCTAAGTGGAGACAAAACAATTGAGGA